TTCCCTGGGTTCTTTTCTTGGTGTTCTCTCCTCTCACCAAGAATTGCTCTTGTACTTGCTTAAGCTGCTGCAACTCCCTGGTTTTCTCGCAACAGAAGAGTGAAATTCTGCACTAAAATTTGCAAGAGTAACACCAGGCTATTGTGGTATTCACTGAATCACTCATGTTTAATGCACTACTTTATTTCAGCTCACTTCTGTACACTGTTGAGGGAAGTTACAAACTGCCTGCCTCCCAAATACTGAGCTCAACCAAAACATGGAAACACCCACAATAGAAACCAAAAAGCTGTGTGTGTCATCAATAACTCAGAGCTTACAGTACAAATACCTTACCATTATAGGGAACATTAGCTAGCTGTTCAAGTCAGAATTGCAAACTAAGCAAGCTAAGCAAGAAGGGATGCAGGAAACAGAATGGTTGAGCATTACTCCTTGACGTTAATGAAAGCATAAAATTTTAGTCACGAGTCCCACCATATATTTTTCCCTAGCCATTTTTGGCTCTGACTGCAGTTTTACACTAATGATTTAGGAAGCATCCCTTAATTTTTAGGGCATACTGAATATCAGCATCAAATGTTAGGCAGAAAATTCTGCATTTAAACTTTTATTTTTCTTTCATGTAGAGCTGGCAGGATTTTACTTCTCTCCCTTTTCCATCCCCATCAACATTCTGGCTGCTGTATTTCATGAAGATTTCATGGCAGAATTGTCACATCTACAGGAAACTCAAGAAGCCTGCAGGCAGGTAGGCAACCTATTATAATCACATAACCAAGCAGCAATTTCTCTCAATATGTTACCGATAGCACATGCTACACAAAAGTATTTTTTAGAAAAAAATTTAATCCTTAAAAAGGCTTGTTTCTAGCCATCCATCATCATCCTCCTCCTCCTCCTCCTTCATACCCACTGGCATATAGAGCAGCAGCAAAGATCCTCCACTGTCTGCCTGTCTCTGGCCAGCCTCTCAATAGTGCCCCAAGTGTAATTCACGCTCATCATTTCTACTTCAACAGTCTGGCGCCATGCTGTCTTGGGTCGTCCTCGTTTCCGCTTCCCTTCAGGGGTCCAGTATACAGCAATCTGTGTGATGGAGCTTCCACCTTTCCTGAGCACGTGCCCAATCCATCTCCAGCATCTTTTCATAATGATGGTAGCCATGTCATCTTGTTTACACCGCACAAGCAGGTCGTGATTTGAAAATATTCTTGGCCAAAAAATACAGAGGATCCTCTGAAGACTTCTGGTGTGAAAAGACGACAAAGTCTCCATCCATAGCAAACAGAAATAACAAGCCTTAAAGTTTTCAAAGCAGTCTCTAAATATTGATGGAGAGTACTAGTCTGTGAACTTTAGTATTTAGTGAACTTACCCTGAAATTGACTCTGTTCCTGACCCGCTGTGCCAATGCTGAATTTATAGCCTTGTCAAACTGAAGTAGCACTTGAAGAGCAAGCTGAGGGGTGATCTGCTGAGACTATGGTTTAAAAAAAAACAAAAACAAATCAAAACCCACAAAATTTGATTGACTTCATAGCAGATTAAAAAAATGCATAGAAATGGATTCGAAGAGCAAAGCTTTCAGGAACCAAATTTCAAGATGCAGACTAGTTTTACCAGTGGCTTTACTGGAAATACATACTTATGACTTTATATTTAATGAGAAAAATGGAGTGAAGTGAATTTGGTTAGTTTTGGCAAGTTTGTGGGAAAGATGTGACCAACATGCAGAGAAACAGCATTTCCCAGAAAACATACAAAAATTCGCATTTTAATTATCTTTGCATCTAGTTTCACCTCAGCAAAAGTGTGTCAGTTCACTCTGGACCCAGGATCTCTTGATTAAGCCAAACCTGACAGAGACAATGCCAGCCTGCAGCACATTTTGCAGCTATACGGCAAAGTTCATTGCAACGAATGCTGAAATTGTTTGAAGCTCTTCATCCCAGCTAGGTTTTACATGCATTATATGAAATTCATTAACAAAGGTTTCTTTAAGTTGGTTATTTGTAGAGCTTTGTGTTCATCAAAGATAGCATAGATGGTTTTCCTCAGTAAATATTTACTAGGGATGACTGGAATAGCAATATCAAATAAGTAGTTTCACACTACAAGTCAGACTTTCATTTACTAGGATTCCCAAAAGTTGGTCACTTGATCTGCATAAGATGCTTTTCTTCAATCCAAGAAACAAGTTTCCTTTCATATTTCCATTGAAGGCTAAACAGCAATTTTAATTTTAACTTCATGACAGTAATCAACTATAAAGAAATTAGTAAGATACGTACTTGTACTGTCTATAGTGAGCAGTTAGCAAAGGTAATAAAAAACTCACTGCTCAGTCATACTTCACACTGACCTGTATAAGCTCATCTAGGCTTTCTTGAAGGCTGTTCCCCAATGTGGTGTTTCTATACAATTGATATGCCATGGTTTACAAAGACAAGATGTATGACTGATCATCCACAGCTATGAAACAGCCAATAGATTTCACACTTTCATTGAAGACCTAAAAAAATTCAATATGAATTACTGAGCTATGCAAAGCAATTCTGAACATAAAACCACCTCAAAAGCTGCATAGGAAAAGATGATCCGACAATTAATACCAAGCAGAAAGTCTTTGATGTCAAATTGGATATAGCTTAATTCAAATTGGATATAACAAGAATACTTGTTATAAATTGTCCAATCTGTAATACAAAATTTGAAAGACAATATGACTGAGTATACAAATACAAAACGCAATGCCTTTCTTTCACAATGTCTTGCAATATTATTATATCTTATTTTGGATAATCAGCTAATTATATTTCACCAGTTCCTTTACACACATTTTTTCCCAACATCCATTTACATGATCATACAATTCCCACAACCACCTTGAAATTTTCAACAGTCTCAATATGACTTATTGTATATAACATGTTTTGAGCACCTTGCCTCATTGATGATTATCTGCTCAGCTTTGAAATCATTATTAATTACCAACGAAGGATATGAAAATGCTATAATTTAAAGGATCATAAATTACTTTATTTGCTTAATGTTGGACTTAATTATGAGTATTTTTATATAGAAGACTATTCAAAAAATTATTTTTTAGAACCTGTGAACAGCAGACAGACTGAAATCCAATACTCGCTATAATAGAGTACTGTTGTGGACCAGAATCATCAGAGGAAAACTAAGCATCCTAATGACCCATGCCAACCAAAACAATCAAAATTCTTCCTAACAGCATAGTTAACTGGAGGTTTCTGACCTTCCCTAATAAAGAGCTAACAGCATTAATGTAAGCCACAAAGGTAAGGAAAACTTGCTACAACCTTAACAGATCAGGTTTGTTTTGTTTGTTTCATTAGGTAAATCTCAGTCGCTAGCCCACAGGGGGGGCATTCCATAGGGCTGTGTCTAGACTGCAGGATTTTTTCGAAAAAACTTCACCTGCGTCTCAACTACAGCTGCGTTCTTTCCAAATTAAATCGAAAGAACGTGGCTTTTCTTTCGACGGCTGCACTTCTCATTTCACGAGGAATAACGCCTTTTTTCGAAAGTGCTCTTTCGAAAAAAGGCACTATGTCATGCAAACTGTGCTTTTTTGAAAGAGAGCATCCAGACTGCCTGGGTGCCTTCTTTTGAAAAAGCCGCTTGCTTTTCGAAAGTACTGGTTGCAGTCTAGATGCTGTTTTCCAAAAGAGGCTTGCAGTCTAGACGTAGCCTAGGAGAAAAGAGCAAATCTGGCAAAAGGTTGTTTGGGTGTCGAAGGCGCATGCCTACTTCTTCACAAGCATCTCTCCATGTACATGTTGTGTTAGTCTTTAAAGCGCTAGCCACTTGGTGGTTTTTAAAGTTTTTCCTGTTACAGACTAACGGGGCTGCCCCTCGGAAGCCTTTGCTCACGGGGGCCTAGAAAGGCCTGGAGTCAGCTAAAGCAGCCCCTGCCACGAGGCAGAACCGAGGGAGCCCAGACCCCCCTGGAACGTGTTTGTCCAACCGATTTTTAAAAACGGCTACAAGGGGGATTCCAGCCTCCCTGGAGACTCGCGTGTCTCTGAGCCGGCACCACCCCCCTTCCCATTCGGCTGCGCTCCCCGTTGCTCCGGACGAGCCCGCTGCTTCCTCCCGACTTGCAGCGCCCCCCC